CTACTACACTATTAATTTGTTATGACTTCAGTTATTGTCTTGTTGCAACGTCGAACCTCCAAGTACTAGGTTTGAGTCGTGACAGAATCAATCCAAGAACCGAACCTATTTGTGTATATATATATATATATTAAAATTTATTTATATTAACATATTTTCACCAAATTGGTCTATTAATAAATTTGATTGCACCTAATGATTTTTCACATACAACAATTATTAGGTGAATGAAAGAAATACTAGAAGTTTGGGTTAGATTTTATAATTGATTTTATTTGTATTGGTTATATTAATAGAATTAATTTATATTGGTTATATTTAAGCTTGAGTTAGATTTAATTTGTATGGGTTTGTATTAAATAATTTTTTGCTCTTTATTTATGTTATGTTTTGTGGGAGCCGGATTTTATTAGATCCATAGGGACGGATGAGCGTGTCCGATCCGAAACGTAACCTGTATTCGGCATATATCCCAACCAATCCAAGAGCCGAATAAAACAGATAAGCCGAGTAGATACTGAACTATGGAGCCGAGTAAATAAGAGGATAATGAGTGAAAAGTGGACCTGGCCCCGAGGCCCAGGAAACGAGTATAAATAAAGGAACAACAGACTAAGAAATGGCTGTGAGAATTGTTGTGCTTAACCCACAATTTAAGTAATCTTGAGTGTTGTGACTGACTTGTCCATCGGAGTGTTAATTCTGACACTCCCGACCGGAGTGTTTATTCCTTTTCAGGTGACTATCAGCAGATCACGAGCGTCCCCTAGGATCAAAAGAGTATTTCTGAACCACTTCTCCACAATTGGCGTCGTCTGTGGGAATACTCAAACACATCCATGGCGGGCATAACCGAAGACCCTCCGATAGTCACTGATGAAACCACGCAGAGAGACGACCTCACTCCACCAAACATGCTTGGACCGGACACCATCCCCGTAAGACGCGCTCTGAACTTCGCCTCACCCTCGACTTCAGAGCATGAAGCAATGCAAGCGATCATGGAACAGGCAAAGCAAAACGAACAAAGGTTGGAGAACATGATCGCAAAAAACGAACGTCTTCGTGAAGATTTGGTCGTAGAAGTGGCGAAGTCCAAACAAGCTGTATGCCTAATCCGGAACGATCTCCGAAGGCAGGTGGTCGACGACCTCGAGCCCGACAGGACGACACTGATAGCGACTCCGACTCGTTATCCCCGGAGCCCAGGAAGAAGGGGCGACCTGAAACTGCTAGTTCTTCTGAAGAAAGTCCCCATATAAGGCACTAGCGAAAAAGGAACAATTCGGACGAAGATCAACACGATCCATTCGTACGACGGATTGCAAAGGCAGTACTACCCAAGAAATTTAAAGCACCGTCATTCACCTTGTACGACGGCAAATCAGACCCCACCGACCACATCCGCCACTACAAGCAAGCCATGACATTGCATGCAGACGACGAGGCCCTCATGTGCCGAATATTTCCCGGCAGTTTGGGACCATTGGCTGTCAGGTGGTATTATAAACTGGGGCCGACTTTCATCAAAACCTTCTACCAATTACAGAAATCCTTCAGGGCCAGATTCATCACTAATGAGGTCCAACCGAAACAAGCCGACTCTCACTGGGCAATGCAAATCCTGCCAGGAGAAACACTACAAGCATATTCGGCGCGATATTGGGAATGCTTTAATCTTGTTGATGATGCTTGCAACGACTCCATGACCATCACTGCCTTCAAAATGAGATTACATCTAGATAGTGCCCTCCGCAGTTCCTTGACTAGAAGACCCCCCAAAACAGTCTGGGGGTTGATGAATAAAGTAGAGGAATACTGCAAAGTGGAAGATGACGCCTTGCGGGTTAAAGCCGGACACATGGCCAACAAAACGGCCCCTCTTGAAATTGCTCAGCCAATAAGTTCCATACCACCTCAGGGCCTCGAACCACGACAGCGGGCTAAACGAGACAAGAAATGGGATTCTCGTCGATCAAGCGATCAATGCTCACACCGAGCAAATGAGCAACTGCAATTTGATAGTAGGCGCACAAAGCGCGCCAACAAGAAATATACGGAGCTGTCAGAGTCAATCAGCTCGGTTATGTCCAAAATCCAACATCTTCCGTTCTTCAAATGGCCGTCCAAAATGGTGGGACCTCCTGACACGAGAAGACGGGATAGGCGGTGTGAATATCACAAAGATCACGGCCATAATATGGACAGTTGCTATGCTTTGAAAGACCACCTTGAGGAATTGGTGCAAGATGGTCGGCTCCAACAACATGTCCGAAAGAGCGCAATCAAAATAGTTGCCCTTCGACAGGATTCACCTCTGTTCGACGTCATTCATATGATATACAGTCTTCCAATGCCTCTTACCGTACACGCAATTCAGTCAGCCCCCCAGAAGCAACGCACACCGACGAAATGGCCCCACGAAGCTCCGAGTATTATCTTCGACGATTCCGATCTTATCGGCACAACACTCCTCCATATTGATCCATTGTTCATTGAACTACACGTAAACCGATTTACCGTTGAACGCATCCTCATAGACCAAGGGAGCACTTCGAAGGTTATGTATTACGAGACCTTCATCAAACTTGGCTTCAACGAATCAGACCTGTCTCCGGCTCCTCATCCATTATTCTGCTTCAACGCAAATCCAGAGTACCCGTTGGGAAAAATCACACTTCCCGTTCGAGCGGGCTCCCAAACAGTGGATGTAGAATTCTTGGTCGTCAAGCTCCCTTCACCGTATAATCTCATCACGGGACGAACTTGGTTGCATACTATTCAGGCCGTCCCAAGCACCTATCATCAGCTGCTATGCTTCCCGACCGAACACGGCATTGAGCAAATCCGTGGTTCCCAGCAATCCGCACAAGCATGTTATCTCCTTTCTAGAAAGACACCAACGGAGTCACAGGTCAACTCCACTGAAGCCACAGAAGCCCTAGGCGATACCAGCAGCGGCTTGCCAAGTCGCATAATCAATGCGTTCAGCTGTGTCGCTACGCCGGGAGAGTTGATCCTGAAGGTACTTCCGGATGACAAGAAACCGGTTGATGGAAAATTGGGTCCTAACTGAGACGGCCATTATCTGATAGATTCCATATCGGCTCAGAAATATGTCAGGAAGGAGTTTGCCACGGCCCTGGAACCCGACGCACTTGCAAAAATTCTGTCATTAAACCCGACTTGTGGGAATGATCCTAGTTCTAAATGATTCGCCATGTACACACTCCACTTTTGAAATACAAGGATTCTTGTTGAAAAGTTGTAATCCTACCCACTGCGAAATATAATTAAAAAGTGCTGCGACAGAAAAAGCCTCCGGATTCGGAGCACCCTTTGTGGATATCACGATTGGCTAATTAAAGTCTCCGGATTCGGAGCCCCATCGGCGCATGACGTCTTTGGGCCGAAAAAGCCTCCGAATTCGAAGCGCCCTTCATGGATATCACGATTGGCCAAAAAGTCTCCGGATTCGGAGCGCCCTTCGTGGATATCACGATTGGCCCATTAAAGTCTCCGGATTTGGAGCCGCATCGGCGCATGACGTCTTTGGGCCAAAAAAGCCTCCGGATTCGGAGCGCCCTTCATGGATATCACGATTGGCCTATTAAAGTCTCTGGATTCGGAGCCCCATCGGCGCACGACGTCTTTGGGCCGAAAAGCCTCCGGATTCGGAGCGTCTTTCGTGGATATCACGATTGGCCAAAAAGCCTCCGGATTCGGAGCCCCATCGGCACATGACGTCTTTGGCCGATAAAGCCTCCAAATTCGGCTGACCAAATAGTGTCCTACCGGGCGACGCTCAAGGGCCGTATGAAAAAAATGCTTAATTAAAGCAGGGATATGCAAGTTGAGCCGGCCCAACCACATGAACAAAACAAAACGTGCCAACATTCGAAATAAGATGCTTAATTAAGCATAAAAAATTCAGAACGAGATATATAAACTTTTAAAATAACACATTTTATTTGATTAAACAGTAATTACAAAAAACGCAATCCGCGTTCGAGCATTACAATATCTATTTTCATACGGCGTCGCCTTCATCCTCACCTTTCTCAAACTTCGAAAGCAAAAAAGGGGAAGTGGTCGCATTGGTACAGCGGCAGCATCGAATCAGCGCCCGCTGCTCGAAGAGCATCTGCAGCTTGAAATGCTTTGATCTTACCGCGCTTGAATCCACGATGTTCACACCGGTGGAGAGATTTGACACCATAGACAACGTTAAGGCCGAGATCCAGGACAAGAAAGGAATTCCCCACGAAAACAGTAAAACTCAACGGTCGCGGCGCTACGTCGGCCTCATTTCTCGGTCGCGGTTATGGAGAACTTCCCCGTTGCTGTTTCTCCCTTCGGGGTGATCTGCTTCGACGACTTTGGGGCTGACGTTTTTCCCGTTCTTTGAACGCCCTACCTCTCGCACGGGTGGGTTCCCTGCTACGATTCATTGTAGTATCAAGCTCAGCCAAAGTTCAAGCTTCTCCTATGCTGATTGAAGAAAACTCCATTTGACATTCACACTTATCTAACCCCACGCAGCGCAATTGTTTTAAATCGAGTCTAAACACAGTAAGTGAAGTTACTGGCGCAAAGAGTCCGAGGCGTTATTTCTAATCCTTGCAGTGACCTCGAGGCGATTTCATTAAACACTGAACTCCAAAAGACGGACGCCAATCGATATTGGCCACAGCCATTCCATGTACTAATTTTCAGCTTTTCGAAGTTAAAATGGCCCAATTATCTAAACTTTCCCCTCTAATTCTCCAATCGCAGCCCACCTCCCCCTCCTTGGAGGGTATTAAGAATAGTCCCAAAACCATGGGATTACTATTCCAATCCCATGGCCTTTGACTAAAACAAACAAGCAAACAAACAAACAGGCCAGAGTCTAACTCTTACTTGTCACAAATCTGTTGAGGAGTACAATTCTCTTCCATGGCCTTGGTTTCAGTGGCAGTCCCATACTCATCAGTTCCACATATGTATACAACGTTGTAACTTCGAAGTCGGCAGTACCGTGCGAACACATCAGCACTCAAAACACCTTTCAAATAGGTACAAACAAACAGAGTGTAATCAAATCAAATTACACACGAACAAAAACAAGTGTCATTTGTATATATATATATATATGCATAGAAAGAGAATTTATTTACTGCCGATGATGTTGCCGAGATGAGGGACGTTGTTGACATAAGGCAAGGCGCTAGTGATGAGAATGTTTCGCTTTCCCGGAATCGGAAGTTTTGTCGATATTCCATCGCCCATATCGACAAATCTATGGGATTGTTGTTTGTGTTTGCTTGCTTCACAATCACAACGCAATTTATATTGGGGGCTTTTGCGTTGCTTCTTCGTGGAGAAAGTCAGAGCAGTGCCACTGTAGCCTCCATTTTACGCCATTCTTACTTTAGTATTTTTTTATTTTTTTAACACCTATAATTATACTCAAGGTTGGGTGGTTGGTTTGGAAATTAGTTATTTTAATTTTGGGTTACTTAAAAAAAAATTAGGATTTTATTTGTTTTTTAATTTAAATTTTAGAGTTTTATTCGTATTAATCTGATCTATCTATCCATTTTTGTCATATTAAACTAAGAAAATTTGAGTAGAATTTCAAATTCAAATCCACATGTTCAAATATTTGTATATCTCTCGTCGTGACTCCATTTTGCTTCATTTTTGCGTCGTTGAATTTACTTCATAGCATAGTTTTCATTCTACTCTTTATACACCTTGTTCCACATCTCTTATTTGTTGTCGGAGCTCTGAAAATTAGTCAAAAATAAAAATTTTCTCTTTGAACAAAATTTTTATATTCAAATTCACAAATTCAAGCACTTGTATCTCCCTCGCCATAATTCCATTTCACCTTATTTTTTGTGTCGTTAGATTCAACTCATGGCCTAGTTTTTATTCCACCCATCATATGCCTTATTTCACCTCTTTTTACATGTTGTTGGATCTCTGAAAGTTGGCCAAAAATAAGCTTTTTCTCTCTCTCTTTTTTTCTTCTTCCTCTTTCTCGGTGGCTTCTTCTCCTACCTTGCTGCTACTACTTCAAAAACATTTTTTTGAACTTTCAATTTGTTAATTTGCCCAGTTCTTTGTATATATATATATATATATTCAAATGATCAAAACCCATTATCAAAAAAGAAAAAAGAAAAAAGAAAAAAAGAGAAAAGGATCAAAACCCAAAAGCGCATATATATATATATATATATATCTATGTATAGAAAGATGACCTTTCAAGGAGTAGAGTGAGAGGGACAATGAAGGCAGCAGCAAAGACAACACGATAGACAATCATGACCCTCATGTTCATTCCAATACTCAAAGCTAATTTGTAGAATATACTTTTTCTTGGTAATTCAGCCTGAACCACCACCATCATCGTCACTGGCTTTAACCCATGTATAGTGTTTGCTATTTTCCCTATCTCCCTCCACCCACATTGCCAAATCTCTCTATGTGTGTGTATGTGTGTGTGTGTATAGTTCTTGAGAGAGCAAGAACAAGCAAGAAGATCAAGAATCAGCATTGTCTTCTCGCTTCCTTGTTTGGAATTCAATTGAAAATGAAAAACAACTACATATAATGAATATATATATATATATGTGTGTGTGTGTGTGTGTGTGTATGTCAGTAGATAGATAAAGAGAGAGAGAGAGAGAGAGAGTCAAAGTGACTAATCATTCAATAATGATGATCATGCAATAGCAGCAGTAATAGCAAGGTAGGAGGAGGAGCTGCAGAAGAGGAGGAAGAAGAAGAAGAAGAAGAAGAAGAAGAAGAAGAGAGAGAGAGAGAGAGAGAGAGAGAGAGCTTATTTTTGGCTAACTTTTGGATATCCGACTGCATGCAAAAAGACATGGAACAAGGCATATGAGGGGTGGAATAAAAATTAGGTCATGACTTGAATCTAACGACGAAAAAATGAGGTGAAACAAAGTTACGATGCGGGAGATACAAGTGCTTGAATATGTGGATTTGAATATGAAAATTTTGCCTAAAGAGAGAAAAATCTTATTTTTGGCCAACTTTCGGAACTCCGATGGCAAGTAAAAAGATGCGGAACAAGGTGTATGAAGAGTGGAATGAAAACTAGGCCATGGGGTGAATCCAACGACGCAAAAATGAGGCGAAACGGAGTTACAAAGAGAGAGATACAAGTGTTTGAACCAAGGTTCTAAATATCGGCTGGTACGTTCCGTACCGGCCGGTTCGTACCGGAAATTGATAGGGCCGAGTCGGATACTCACCGGTATACCGGCGAGACTGAATTTCACGGCCGTAGCGGCCGATTCCCGACACGTATCGGGCTGAATCCGATACGTAAGCGATTTGTTGTCCGATACATGCCGATACGGCTGAAAAACGAGCAAAGCTCAGTGTCTTGTGTATGTATGAGTGTGGCTACTGAGCAAAGCAAAGCATGGAGGAAAAGCAAAGCAAAGCCTGGAGGAAAAGCAAAGCAAAGCACTTTGAGGAAAAGAAAAAATAAAGCAAAAGAACCTGCAAAGCAAAGCACTCAATCGGACCAAACCCAACTCCTCAATCAAACCCAAATCTATCTCCTAGGGGCTTCGATCTTGTAAAGTGTTGCAGCCTGCAGGGAGAAGCATCGAATCGAACCCAAATCCATCACCGATTTCAAGCTTCTTCGTTGAAGGTTTGGTCTCTCACTCATGCTCTGTTTGTTTTGTTCTCTCACCGTATGAGGCTCTGTTTTTTTTGTTTTGGGTCAAGAAAGGAAGTCATAGTTTTGGTTTATAAGTTGTGTTTGGTTCGGTTTGTTTATAATTTTTTTTTTTTCTGTGATTATTTTTTTAAATGCACATAATTTTTTGTATATATTATTGAGGTTATCGGGAAACACAAAGAAAAAGAAAGTGAAAGGAAAATGCAATTTCACATTTTGTGTTTCAGATTCACTTCGGCTTCTGAAAGTCAGCAAAAAATAAGATTTTTTCCTCTTTAGGCAAAATTTTTAGATTCAAACCTACATGTTCAAATATTTGTATCTCCCTCGTCGTAACTTTGTTTCGCCTCATTTTTATGTCGTTGGATTCACTTTATGACCTAGTTTTTATTCCATCTCTCATATGCTTTGTTTCACCTCTTTTTACATGTCGTCGGAGCTTCAAAAGTTGGCCAAAAATAAGATTTTTTTTTTCTTTTATTGCTGCTATTGCAACATTTTTCTTGTCAGTGGAGATGCAATGCATGATTCTTGATTGGTATTGAAAACCAAGGCGCCCTAACATGCTCACCAACCCATTTGATTTTTGATTTTTGATTTTTATGTGTAGTGGTATACTTATCACTACTCAACGACATCGCCACCATTACCACCATCACCTTATCTTGCAGATAATGATGATGAAGAAGCAGTAGCAACAGTAGCAACAAGCCAGGAGGAGTCGCGGAGGAGGAGGAAGAAGAAGAGAGAGAGAGAGAGAGAGAGAGAGAAAAAAAATAGATGAGAGAGAAAACTTATTTTTGGCCAACTTCGGAAACCTGACGGTATGCAAAAAGAGGTGAAACAAGACATATGAGGGGTGGAATGAAAATTAGGCCACAAGGTGAATCCAACAATACAAAAATGAGGCAAAACGAAGTTATGACGAAAGAGATATAAGTGTTTGAACATGTGGGTTTGAATCTGAAAATTTTACCTAAAGAAAGAAATCTTATTTTTGGCCAACTTTCGGAGCTCTGACGGCAAGCAAAAAAATGTGAAACAAGGCATATGAAGAGTGAAATGAAAACCAGGCCATAAGGTGAATCTAACGACGCAACAGAGTTACAACGAGGGAGATACAAGTGTTTGAACATGTGGGCTTGAATTTGAAATTCTGCTTAGATTTCCGTTAATTTAATATGATGAAAATGGACAGAGGGGTTAGATTGAAACATAGATGAAACTTTAGGGTTTAATTTGTCGAAATTGAAATTCTAGGGTTTAAATTGGAAATTACGCAAAACCCTGGGCTTTTTTTTTTGTAATTAACCAAAAATAAATAAATAAATATATCAAAATACATGTCCATATCTCCATATACATATCTACATCTCCATATCTCTATATCAAAATACATCTCTATCACAAAGAACTACATCTCTATATCTATTTACTCTCTGTTCTCTCAACCTCTAAAAACCTTCAGTCACAAATCTCGAGTTGACCCCACTTTTATGTATCGCAGCTTGGCGATAAGGGTTTTAGGGTGTTGATTTGGGTGTTCTTTTTTCAATGGGTGAAGATTGATTTTTTAGGTTTCATTTGCGTAAATGGCATGCCGTTAAAGTGAATTACTTTTCATGACATGTCATAACATGACTATACATTGCGCGTCGTAGAATTGTATCCACAACATGCATTTTATGTCATTAAAAGTGAATTTTGTTCTTGTTTGCGAGAGAGATATGAGTGAAATTCCTTCTTTTTTCCTTTATATTTTAGGGGCAATTTTGATGTTATAAACATTTTATAACTAATCAACTTGTTTATCACCAAATTTCATCACCTTTGATAGGAAATGAAATAGGCTTAAGATTGTTTTGGGAATTGACTTTTTTTAATGACTTTTTGACTTTTTATAAAAAGATATACAAAAAAAAAAAAGAAAAGAAAAGAAAAAAATATATTAAAAATAGGGAGAAAATTGACTTTTTTATAGTGATTTTTATTTTATTTATTTATTTATTTATTTTTATAACTTATTGGCTAAACTTCATGTTGGCAAAATAAACCTTGATAAGAGAGTACTTTTTGTTACTAGTTATTATCATTTTTTTTACCATTTCTCACTCAACTTATAAACCAAAAATAAAAAAGGATTATATATATTTTTTTAATCAAATCACTTCATTGAAACTAAAGTGTAGTGGGTGCTAAAATTTCAATACTTCACATTATCAGGGTTGGACCCAGGAATGATTGAACTGAGAAATCTAAAGGCTTGATTTGACAATACCATAAATAAGTTATTTATTAACTTATTTAGATCACATTATCTCTTAATATTTTTACACATTTTTTCGTAATAAACATAAAAGTTAGAGTCATACCCAAAACAACCTATCAGTACTATCTTAATGTAAATTATACGAGCACAAAAAATACCTTGCACATGTACTCCTTGTGATCAAAGTTGAACTTCTCCTAACGTTGTTGTATGACTTGAAAATATAACTCAGGTAAGCTTACCGGCGGATGTGGGTCGAAAAATCTCTCCAATGCTTAAGTTAGCTCTCAGGATCAATATGGGGGAAAAACTCTCTAAGAATTCTATAAACAAAGTTGGATTACCTAGATTAGGTCGAACTCTGAGCTTTTATGTATTTCCACAAAGAAGAATCATAATATGATTTTAATTCCTTTCTTGGAGTCCCATTAAG